GAGCAACATCTACTCTTCAAAACCTATGAAGTCGCAACTGCTGACATCTTCAAACAACAGATTTATAACAGTGGAAATTTCGCATGATTTTTCACTATTTAAATATTCAAAATTCTGGTTCTCTGCCGTTACTGCCTGGATCGACCTACTTCTTTCGCTATACGTTATAACATAATTTGCTTAATAAAATCCGTACAGTTTTGCTAAGCTTTACTTCCAAATACACCATTTACTAAAAACCCTTATTTTAAATATATATGCCGCCGTATACATAAATATATGCTTTCAATAATCTTTTTTGCGTTTGTTTTGCTTATTTTCCTTCTTTGTCGTCCAGCGAAAAATTTTTTATTCCAAAAGTGAAGGTGGTCACCCCGTACCAGCTCAAGAGTGAAGGTAGGGGGAGACTTGGCTCCCCCTATCGCACCTCTGCTTATAACCAGAGGTGCGATGGGGGGAGCCGGGCCCACCAAAAGTGAAGGTGGTCCCAGCTACCACTGGCCGGCCAAAAGTGAAGGTGGTAGTGCCGGACACTCACCTCCCAAAAACGTCGAACGGGGGGGGGAGGGAGCATTAACGTCTATACTTCCAGGTCATTGCCGTCAGTGCGCGGAAAATAAGCAAAACAAATGCAAAAGGGATCATTGAAAGCATATTTTTATGTATACAGCTCATAAATATCTAAAGTAAACGTGCCTATCAAATAGTGTATTTGGAAGTAAAACTCAGCGGAACACTGTACGTATTTTATTAAATAAATTTTATTATAATGTAAAGCAAAGAAACTAGGTCGATCCAGGCAGTGACCGCCGAGAACCAGAATTTAGAATGATAAAATAATGAAAAATCGTGAAAAATCATTCCACTGTTACAAATCTGCTGGCTGAAGACCTCCGCAGTTGCGACTTCATAGATTTTGAAGGGTAAGTGTTGTTCTACCAGACAGTGAAAGAATCAATTTGATTCGAGGAGTGGCCGCCGAGAACGAGAATTTTGAAAACCCTTGAAAATCTTCTCAATTTTAGGTTGCTTAATGACAACTGACATTTAAACTCTTATAAATCCGGACTTTGAAGGTGTGTGATGTTGCGACTTCATAGGTTTTGTAGGGTGAGGTTTGCCCTATCAGAATATATTTTAGATGTACCGATCCATCAAAACATCGCCGAGATCCAGGCTCTTCAAAAAGCGGGTAAAAAACCGTTTTTCAGCTCATAACTTCTTCAGAAATGCATAATTCCACTTCATAGGTTGGATTCTCCTCATCAAGAGCTTTCAAATGATATATAATATTTGGGGGATTCACGCCTCTCACGGCATATGCCCGGGGGTGGAGTACCTCTCTTCACTAATTCTCCACTGGCGGCCTCCCGCCAATACATTGAAATGGGCGTGGTGGAGAATTAGTGAAGAGAGGTACTCCACCCCCGGGCATATGCCGTGAGAGGCGTGAATCCCCCACATATTATATATCATTTGAAAGCTCTTGAAGAGGAGAATCTAACCTATGAAGTCGCAGCATGATTCATGCAGTTCTGAAGAAGTTATGAGCTGAAAAACGGTTTTTCACCCGCTTTTTGAAGAGCCTGGATCTCGGCGATGTTTTAATGGATCGGTACATCTAAAATATATTCTGATAGGGCAAACCTCACCCTACAAAACCTATGAAGTCGCAACATCACACACCTTCAAAGTCCGGATTTATAAGAGTTTAAATGTCAGTTGTCATTAAGCAACCTAAAATTGAGAAGATTTTCAAGGGTTTTCAAAATTCTCGTTCTCGGCGGCCACTCCTCGAATCAAACTGATTCTTTCACTGTCTGGTAGAACAACACTTACCCTTCAAAACCTATGAAGTCGCAACTGCGGAGGTCTTCAGCCAGCAGATTTGTAACAGTGGAGTGATTTTTTACGATTTTTCATTATTTTATCATTCGAAATTCTGGTTCTCGGCGGTTACTGCCTGGATCGACCTACTACATAAATATATGCTTTTAATACTTTCTTTTACATTCCTTTTGCTTATTTTCCTTCTTTTGAGCTTTAGCAAAAAAAATTTTCAAACCCAAAAGTGAAGGTGGTCCCCTGTACCAGCTCAAAAGTGAAGGTAGGCGGAGAATCGGCTCCGACTATCGCATCTCTGCTTATAACACAAGCGTACTGGCATCGACGCATCATGGAGACCTCATGATACCTCCGTGATACAGGCTAAGACCTTATAAGACTGACTGGACAAGAAGGTATCGCTCTTAACGCCACATATGACAGAGAGCAACTGTTCTTGACGCGGCAGTAATGTTGTCCGCGGTGTGGGAGTCTATGTTGATACTACTGTGGCCGTAAACATCAAATCCACCGATCAACTGAAATCGATGTTTACGAGTATTAAGATGAGTATTAAGATGATTACTCAGCCGCAAAAGGAGCGTACAAGCAAATCTAGGGCTATGGGGAACTCATGCTGAAATTGATCTTGCGAACAAAGACACTGTCCCAGCGGGAGCGCGAATAAATTCACTGAGATATTCGCCCAAAGGGACCCCAGGATCGTATAAATGGACAACTCGCACCGGGGTAGGAGAACGAAGGCCGCCGAATGTGAGTGAGGATTTCCTGCAAGAACGCATGTCCGCGCATATACAAGGGTGCGTGTTTGTCGCAAATGACCGCGGAGACCGCACTTTTTCGGCGACATATAGTTCTCTACTCCTCATGGGCGGCCCAAACTGGCGGCCTTCGTTCCCCTACCCCTCGTATCGTGCTTGCATGCTTTGCGCGAGGATGTACGCGAAACTGCTATGAAACCATGCGAACATGATCCAAGTCGCCCGTTAATAGAATCCTGGGGTCCAGTTATGGGGCGAATATCTCAGCGTGAGTGCACAATCTGAGCTGCCGCTTTTAATTACTCCCCAAAATTACTTTCCACCTCAGATCTCCATATGTCCAGGTTTGCCTGGATGCTGCCTTCAACGGTATTCATCGAGTAGACCCCAACATCAAGCTACGACAAGGACGAGATCGAGATTTCTGCATGGACTTGAAGAGGATCTACAAAATATACACACCTTCTGCAAGGTGAGACTTTAAAGGCAGTGTCCGGGCCAGATGGGGGTTTTGAGACTTCAGCGCCATGCGAGAATGGCCCCCCTCGGACACAACATCGCGCAAGTGCCACGTCATAACGCTCGACCTAAAGCAAGAAAAACGACTGGAAAGTGTGGAAACTTACGCCTTGGGGCGGGGTCCCTCGAGCTGTCCGAATTCCTGCTATGCGGCAGAGACGCATGCCGCCACAGTCAAAATTGTACGGTCCCGCAGGGACTCTGCGTCTCTGCCTTGGTAGGGACCGTCAAATTTCAAATTGTGCGGCTTTGGAAAACGCATGTTCTTGCCGTTTTCGCGCCTTCTAAAATGGATTTTCAAATTCGGCATTGCGGACTACCCCCGGCAAGTGGATTTTCTAGAAATCGAGTTTTTGCCCGGACACTGCCTTTAAGCTAAGGGACCGGAAGTTGATACGGGAGTAAGATTGTGCTGATTACGAAAAATGGTAAAAATGTTGTATAGAGAATGGCGACCATATGTCCAATTACAGAGCTGGCCGGAGCCGGATATCAGCCTAGTACAGATAAATGAATAGGAAACAGATACAGCGTATTACGACCAAAATATTTCCGTTTTGATCGATTGACATTATAACGCTATTACTCCACGTTCGCCCGACAATTGCCAGAGGACTGCGGAGTTGAGAAAATTGATTGTGCTATCGTTCACAAGGACCAAGCACTTTGAGAAGTCGCTGAAAAACGCGTCACCAAATTTGGGCGTCTCTGAACTATATTTCTGGGGTTTTTGCAAAGGCAGTATTAGGTTGTCCCGAAAGTTTTGTCCGTTTTTTCAACCTATCATAAAAACTAATGGAACGAAGACAGGGAAACGCTCTAAGCACTATCCGACGCATCTTTTCCTTCTCTTTCTAACTGTCATGCTTCCATGCCGACTAATCTTTTGTTCACTGAGATAAACGCCGAAATTTCGAACCCATGGTTTCTACTAGGTCCAAGTTTGGCAATTTTTCACAATCTTTATTTTTGACTTTCGGAAAAGCTTTGACAACAGTAGATAGAGCAAACAAAGGGCATATAATGCAATTTTACGGCATCTATAGCCAGCCTTGAGAATTTTTTAGAATTATTTTTCTGATGCTATCAAATTCCACTTTTGGTGATGCCAAAAGCCAGAGATCATGAAACGGCGCACAACTAAGGTGTTATTGGATGCAGCTTTTCTTCCTCTTTCCAGTGAGTGTATTTTCTCTCCAATTTGCGGGATCCCTGGTGATAAAATTTTCATAAATCTTGCATTTGACTCCATTTCAGCGTGTACGCGTAAAATGGAAAATCTTATATTACGAAGCGGTAAACGCTCATTTGCTTCGTAAAAATAGTGAATAATTGTAATCGGTTTTTAAAAGTTTCAAAATCCGATGATTTGTTAGTGTCCGAGGCGTTTCTATATTTTAGAACTTCGCAAAAGTGAAATCTTTTGAAAAAAATTTTCTTCAAAAATATTGAAAAGCCAGATAGATATGCCAAATAATTGCATTGCATTGCCCTTTGCTTACTCTATCTGAGGGCAATCAAAGATCTTCCATAAATGAAGATTGTGAAAAATTGTCAAACTTGGACATAGTAAAAACCATGGATTCGAAATTTCGGTGTTTATCTCAGTGAGCGAAAGAGTAATCTGCACAAGATTATTACAGTTAGAAAGAGGAGGAAAAGATGCGTCGGGAAGTGCTTAGAGCGTTTCTCTATCTTTGTTCAACGTATTTTTATAATAGGTTGAAAAAACGGACAAAACTTTCGGGACAACCTAATATAAATATGGGTAGGTGGTTACTCAGTCATGGGACTCCACAGATGCATACCTAGCAGTAATGCTCACGAAACTTCAAAAGCCTAACTTTAGCACTAATCTGCTTTCGAAAAACTCACCATGTTGTTACTGGAGTGAAGCTTAGACGAAGGAATGATCGATAAACGTTATCGGATTCTTTAGTATAAAGCAAAAACTACGGTCGTGCTGACTGGGTGCATGTTAAGAGGCGCAATTTTTATTACCAGATGAACACAAATAGCACATAATAAGTGTTTTATGACTTTCTAAGTATTCAGTGTTTCAAAGGAGATGTATCAGATAGTTGCATGGGTTGTTCAATCTTAATACCTTGGAATCGGTCTGAAACAGCAACTTTGAAGGTCAAATGCCCATGCAAATGCAGTTGAGAACAATTTCGTAAATGGTTCGGTCCATTTTCCCGCAAAAGCCACCAAACTCAGCAATGATAGCAAGCACTCCATCTAGTACTTTTTGAGGACTCGCATAGCACTAAACTGAACTTTTAAGCAAGTGACAGCCGGAGAAATCGCGCCTGCGCTGATTCACACTATATATTAGGTTGTCCGGAAATTAATGCCCGTTTTGAATTTCAACCGCGATAAGTCATACAGTTCTCATTTCTAAATAGGTTGCAAAGCACCATTCGATAGAGCAAAGCAAGCTCTATAAGATGACTGTCTTGCTTTTGCAACAGCTCTCATTTGTTTCGAGTTTCGAGCCAAAAACTAAAAAGACTCAGCAGCCCGAAAAATCGAAAAAAATCGTAACTCAGTTCAAAAAGATCCTACAAAAATTCTAACTTGCTCACGTAAACACTATCCACATAAGACATCTATATACGCCTTTGCCGCAATTTTTCCTCTGTTAGAAATCACGAAAACGGAAATTTTCGTGCATTTGTCAAAGTGATGCTGTGCCTTCCCCACATAGGTTGTTGCATACCACAAGCCTGTAGAAGTACAGACTTAAATTTTCAGCTCTCTATAAGCTTTAGTTCTCGAGAAATACCGAATATAGCTTTCCCTAGTTGGGTGGTCCAAGCGAAAATTCAAATTTCTCGAGAACTAAAGCTTGTAGAGAGCTGAAAATTTAAGTCTGTACTTCTACAGGCCTGTGGTATACAACAACCTATGTGGGGAAGGCACAGCATCACTTTGGCAAATGCACGAAAATTTCCGTTTTCGTGATTTCTAACAGAGGAAAAATTACGGCAAAGGCGTATATAGATGTCTTATGTGGATAGTGTTTACGTGAGCAAGTTAGAATTTTTGTAGGATCTTTTTGAACTGAGTTACGATTTTTTTCGATTTTTCGGGCTGCTGAGTCTTTTTAGTTTTTGGCTCGAAACTCGAAATAAATGAGAGCTGTTGCTAAAGCAATATAGCCATCTTGTAGAGCTTGATTTGCTCTATCGAATGGTGCTTTGCAACCTATTTAGAATTGAGAAGTGTACGACTTATTGCGGTTGAAATTCAAAACGGGCCTTAAGTTCCGGACAACCTAATACTTTTGTCAATAATATTAGAGAAAATGAGCTTCGCAAATACAGAAAAATGAGCAGACGAAAGCTTGTATAAAGCTGAAAATTTGTTATAGTATTTCTGAAGGTTGTAGTATGCAACTACCTATGTGGGAACACCATGGGATCACTTTGTGAAAGCATGAAATTTCGTATTGAGTTGTAAGCGAGGAAAAAATGCAGCAGCAAAGTTCATAAACAAGGCTCGGCACGAGGTGGCTTACAAGCAAGCTGGATATCGTTTTTGGGACGAAAAGCAAAGGGGGTTTCGTTTTTGTGACCGAAGAGACACGGAAAATTGGCGACGGCGACCTTTTTTTTAGTCGACGTTTCGTTTTTTGGGGGATTTTGGGGAATTTTTCAGGTTTTTAAAGGAAATTTGATTGAGGGTCAAAGGGGACTTCGTAAAAATTCCCAAAAGTCAAGGGGGACTTCGTTTTTTCCATTTTCATCTAGCCACCTCGTGCCGAGCCCTGTTCATAAACGCGTGATATGGAAAAGGTATGCGAGAACAAATTAGGATTTCTGCATGATTTCTTCGGACGAAGTTATGATTTTTTCAATTTTTCGGGCATTGAATTCTTTCTAGTTATGACTTTAACGTCGGGAAGGATTGAATTGATTGCAAAAGCAAAAATGCCTTCTTGCTTGCTTTGATCGAATGGTACGATGAAACCTATCCAGAATTGAAAAATGTACGATTTATTACGGTTGGAAGTCCGAACAGATGGAACTCAGGACAACCTGATAAATTGTTAATAGATAGAAGCAAGTCTCAGATCTGACTATATGATCATTTTCTTGGATAGTTCTTATTGTACCAATCATTTCGCTCTTTAGATAGAGGCAAGTGTAGGACCATATGAAATTTGAAATCATCTTGACATGACCAAACGTAGTGCGGACTTCGGAAGATGTGTTTCCAGATCACGGCCCCATTTTACACGGCAGCAAGTGCTGTTGAGCTGCAAAATTCTAGATAAGCTGTGAAATAGATTTGATTTGAATCACCTGCAGCACATATCCTTTTATGACTTTCATATGATGCTTCAGAGGTAACCATTCCGCATAATTTATCAAAAGTACTTTATTCATCACTTTTCCATCCACCATTACCATACCATTTGCTTCTGTTGTTGGCCCCACATAACCGTATACATTAGAACCGCACGCCATGCACTTAGCCTGTCTTCTTCCGTAATATTGAAACCTGCAAAAAAATTTTGTGCAAATCAGGAATAATCTCCAGTCTGTGTCAGTGAGTGAGTTCCCTTGTTGACTGCGCATCCGCAGCGCGAGAAACTTCCGCGGAACTCGAATCGATGAGGCTACTTTGAACGCCTGGGCCATACGCACGCGACGTGTCGAAAGGCTTTGGCACGTCAACACCACGTTTCGCCATTGGAAGGGAGTTTCAGGATTGAAACAGATTGTGGATAGCACCCACAATGACTTGCAACTTGCATGCCAAATTTATGAGTTTCGAATGAAGATTTTTTTTACCTTACAAAAGACTTCCAGTATGTATCTATAGCGCTTATTTTCCACTGCACCGAATCGCCATAGCCGATTACATCGGGTAAGCACATCGTGGCAAGACCAGGTATATTATAGAACTGAAAGTATGTGAATTTATGAACAAGTCATTTCTACTGGCATAAGCAAAGTTCAAAAGCTAACCTTAGCTTCCCGCCGTAGACATTCTCGAGCTTCATCGTCTTCAGGAGGATAAAAATTTTCGCTATCTCTCAGATAATTCAAGATCTTGAAAATGACATTATATAAACGAATATGGAAGTAGGAGATAAAAAATACTTTGGCAAATTGTGTTGGTTCCCTATCAATAAACAATTCTCCCCGACTTCGCCAACGACCAACCATAGCAGAAAGTAGCTGCAAAAAAGCATTTTTATACAAAAAAAATTGCAACAAAATTTATAGACTTACAGTATCATTCACTCTTGTTAAAGTGCAAAGAGATGTTTCAAAAATAGTTCCACCAACGTTTATTCGAACTCGTTCGCTGTAGTATGAAAATTCCTCTTTTTCTGACTGAAAATATTTGAGGTTGTTATTACTGTACAATAAATAATATTGTTAACGCAGACTAATTTTATGTATGAAGATTTTGTAGTTGAACTAACCATTCGTAAACCTACGTAGAAGAGAACAGCAACGGACGAATGATTCATTTACGAACTGTTTTAGCGAAGAAATAAAAGCAAGAACAAGAATCGACACAAAAACTACTTGCTTCACTTTTATTACAACTGCGGACATAAAGAAACAATAGTAGACAGTAGGGAAACATGCGTCTGAACTCACAATCAGATATACATATACCATCGCTCATCTACTTCATGTCAAATTCTTTGATTATTTTTGCTAAAAGACTAAATCATTAATTAATTGCAAGCAGAAAAGTAACTTTGCAGATACAGCAAAAAAGAACATGATCTAGCAAAACTTTGTGCCCAGTTAAGTCGATAATTACGTCCATCGTTTATCTCCCTGAAGCCATGGACAAGCTGTTGTCATGTTATTGTTCGACGTGTTAGAGTTTTATTTATTTTTGTTGTTCTTTGGTGCACCGTGAGTGTAAACTAAAATAAAATAAAAATAAAATAAATAAAATAATCTATACTTCTGAAGATTCAAACAACTCCGCATTCAAAATTTCCAGACGTGCTTTGATTTGTGCTATTCACATCGCTTCTTCCATTCTTGACTAGAGATCATAGACCACATATTATAGAGGATCAATTATCCCCATTTCTAAGGAGTCGTTTGCTTACCTTCGACCGTTTTGTTAATTGGCGTTAACTTAAATTAATAGCATGGAGCAAATTATCAATCTCTCTTCTTCACTGCAGGATTGTTGGAACTTGGAGAGGGTTTTGAGCCAAAAGGGGCCAAATTTTGTCTCAGAAAGGAAACAAAATGACCTGCAAAATCCGATTAGGCTAATTAGAGATGCTGATCTCAAATGTGAAGTTTGCATCTTGTCATAATTCCTTCGTTAAAAAGTTATGCCAGGTAAAACGTAGCAGCGGTTTTTTCAATATTCCTAAAATAAGTAGTTATGTGTAGATATCTTCACAGTCTTGTACAAAGTTGAGTATTGTACCCGGAGGTTCCTACCGTAATCCTACAGTAATGAAGGGGACCGCTGATTGGCCTCATACTTTAGATCTAAGTTGAAGTCAGCTCTACAAAATGATACCTAAAGGTATGCAAAAGACTTCTTGGGAAGAGAGATATTAGAGATCAAACAGCGAGTACATACTTTTGGGACACCTCGTCAACATTCCACAAAAGCTCCCATTTGTGGATTTTTCCGACATCAATCGTTCTATGAAATACCTATCTTTGGCAAAACTGCACGTCTATGATAGCGGACTTATACTAAGCTTAGCCCTCCCTTCCTGCTGGTAGTATCGTTATTTTTTTAAATCAGATCTTTCTCTGTTTTTCTGTTCTTTCCCCTGTTGAAGAGGTAGTGGTCCATTAAAAGGTGAAAATTCTAAAGATAAGAAGAACCTACTGCATCACATGCGTAATGCTGAAATACGAGTATCTGCTGTGTTAATGTTTTCTTTTTCGAAGAATTAGTGGATGTTCACGAAAGGCACGTCTTATAAAATAATCTTAGAGTAAATTTGCTAAGTTTTTCTACATTAATGCCTATTATGATTACAAGTAGTATGTGATTGAATGGGAAATTAGAACAACAAAATTAAGCAAGGAAGGTTACAGTCTATACAATACGTGTTTTGGAAATAACCTATGCTTGGCATCGTATACTGATTTCCATAAGCGGTGTTCCTTCTATACCGCTTCATTTCAACATCATTGGGAATAATCAAAGAGACTAATTTTGAAGCCCAGAGCTGCGAAGTCCATGCTGTAGTAAAAAGTTTTTTTTATCGAGTATTGCGAGCGCAGACCTAGTTCACGCACACCACGTGTAGGTTGTTCTCGAATTTACCAGAGAGTTTATAGAGTGTTCTTCCCTCCATTTAGGTAAGACGAAAATTCGTTAAGCTGTGGTGAATATAGTTTCGAGTTGACTATCGCTTTGGAGTATAAAAAAAACTGAGAAATCACTCTCCGTAAGATCTTAGCAATATTGAATATGTCTGCTTAAAACAAAAACGTTTTAGAAGAAAAACGAGCACTCATGTTTTCCGCTCAAAGGTGCTGTTTCATCGTATTAAGTAGGCTATTTAGAGAACTGCAGCGAGATTACGCCATACATAAAACGAAAGCTTTTGACGTGCTCTTACAATTGCATAGTAAGCTGTAAAGGCTACTGCATGACGAAGGCGCAGAAGCAGCATTAGCTGAGCGGGCGCGAACGCGGCGCGCACGTATCCTCACCGTTGTATAGGCTGCTGCATGACGCATGACGAAGGCGCAATATCTCTAGGCGCGAACGCGGCTTTATTAGCCGCAGAGCGCATGAGGCGCAAGATTTACAACGGTGAGAATACGCGCGCGTCGCGTTCGCTCCCGCTTAACTAATACTGCTTCTGCGCCTTCGTCATGCAGCAGCCTATAAATGAAACTGAGGGTCTATTCCGTAAAAAATGATCAAAACGCGGTTACTAAAACCAGACTTTCATAGGACAGCTTTTACGGTTATTGCAAAATTCAGTGCAGCCTAAACATCCGCTGAGAAATACTACGGACCTCTTGTCTGTCCCGAGATCAGACTGAATCGTTCGCGTAAATGCGCGCTTGCAGCCCTAAGCGTTCGCCCTGCATATGCGTACATCGGGGAGAGCGAAGAGCTGAAGAAAGAGCAGACAAGCAGGAGGAAGAGGTGACGCAGAAGCCTAGCGACGCCCTCTCCCGCCATGCATTGGCCTAATTGCGATTGGGACAGACTGTTCACTGTAAGGTTAAGGTAGGTGTCCTTCAGTGCGTGTTTCCAATCGAGGAGGCCTCTTTGAATGTCCAGGTATGCGCAAACGCGGCGCGAAGCTGCGGCGTGCCACTTGCGCCGATGGAAAAGTGAGTATGTACAGGGCTCCTAAATTGCAGTCGTTTGCACCAGCGGTCGCGCACGCGTCGCGCCCGGGCATTTTGCCGGCGCCGGCGCCATCGATCGAGGCGGCGCCATTGATGCCCGGGCGCGACGCGGTCGCGCGACCGCTGGTGCAAACGACTCTGCAATTTAGGAGCCCTATACGCTATTGTTACAAAATGCGTCGACTCAGTCACTGTAGCAGAAGACTCTTCAATAAATGCAGCGCAAAATTTCTCATTTCAATACAGTAATTGCAAACTACCGTGTAAAAAACACTTTTCAACTACATCTTCATGTTAACCCAGACATCATTCATCATCAGAACTCTTGAGTATTTCGTCGTCATCACAATACATGGAAGGAGTGTTAGGCCCCGGACAGACTTCACGCGATTTGATCGTCGCGACTAAATCGCGACGAGACAACTGTTATAACATCATTCCATGCCGATCAACTTGCATTTCGGTTGTGATACTTTTCCAGCCCGAAATTTTTGAACGTGAAATGAAAATGAATGGAAATGTCGGCGATTGAGTCGCGACGATCAAATCGCGTGAAGTCTGTCCGGGGCCTTACAGATACAAACTAGATAAGTGATAGTTATTATACCAAATGGCTACTGCTTATATAGGACTAGCTGGCAAACGACTCTGCCCGGCGCTGTCTATAATAATTTCGTAATCAGCATGCTCGCTTACCTCTCCCCCCCCCCCTCGCTAACTTCCACCCTCGTAAGTGAAACTCTAGAAGAAAATAGATAAAATCGATACCGATCGATGACGAAAAGTAGCCTACAACTCCCGGCCCAGTGTACAGTCTGCCCCAATCCCAACCAGGCCGAAATTGGCTCCCCGTGCGGCGCCTTGTAGTGCGAGGGAGCCGAACGCTCCGTGCGCGGGGGCCGAACGCTCCGTGCGCGCGGGCCGAACGCTGAATGCGCGAGGGCCTGAATGCGCGGGCCGCACGGTATCGAAAGCGCTCCGTCCGCAAACTACTAGAGAATAAGTCTTTTTCATAGATCTTCTTTTTCTTCTTTCGTCGTGCCGTGAGCATTCTCAACTTCACAGTTCAAAAAAAATTCCGAATTCAAAAAATTCGAAAATTTGAATTTGAATCCACAGAATTCAAAATTCAGATTCAGCACCCATTCGGGACGCTGTCGAGGGATAACCTCCGTAGAAGTAAAAAACTTCTTATGTTCCTGCGATTACTCAAATGCTAATAAATGTACCTAAGTCAGCTCCACAAGTGATGGAGCAGCCTAATCATAGCGTCGTACCTCACGCGGGTACCTATTACGCTTATAGCGTGTGAAAATTGGAGGCGCGCGGGCGGCACGGGGAGAATATATTGCGCGCGGACCGTACGCTAAGGATACAAGGCGCGCGGATCGCACGGTACATGAACCCGCCCGTAAATCTAGGCGCGCGGGCCGCACTGCTGGCCATTAACAAGCGCGCGCCGCACGCACCGAATGTCAGAGTAGTCTGCTCCCTCCTCAATCTCTTCGCTCTCTGCGACAGCGCGCGTATACAACGCAGACCCCTAGCGTTGCGAGCGCGCAAATTCAGTCGGCGGTTCGGCCTGATCCCGATTGGGGCAGACTGTATGTGTGCTAACATTGGTCCGGATCGTTCAGAAATGGAATTTTCCACTTAGAACATACGTACTGACACACATACAGGCTTCAGAACATTCAGCTTTATATATACAGCTGATAAACGTCAATTATAAAAATAGCAATGAATTTTTTTGGAAAAATTATCTACACAGGCGAACCAACCCTAGGTGTCAAACGCAAAAAAAATTTTGGTACGTGTGTATCCCAATGATCCGCTGCTCCGATGTCCCATCGTACATAACAGCACCTGTCTTGGACCTCAATAAATTAACTCAGAAGTCGAATCCAAATTCAACTGACGGAACTTACTGCCGTTATCTCGCCCTTCGTAGACAACATCCGATGCCTTATTTCTCCAGTTGACAAATTCTCACACCCACTCCACTTCTCATCCGTACGAGCAAAGTGATAATGACTTCTGCATCCGACACATTGCAAAGATGATAAACGCTCCAAAGCTGGTGTCCTTAATCATAGTAAATTCTCGAGTGATTTCACAAGAAAGCTCAAGCTTAATATCGGACCGAGGTTGCATCAGGTATTCCCAGTATAGATCAATGCCATTTTCCCTCCAATTAACCGTATCGCCAACTCTCCACAGGGGGGTTGAGCAAATATCGACGAGACCAGGAAGCTTATAAAACTGGCTGTAAGTAATAATCTCTCAAGAAACTCCTGCATCTACCTCTGCTTCCTTGCGAAGACGATTCCGCGCAAAACTGTCGACTGGAGGATCGAATCTTTCATAATCTCTCAGATAATCCAGCACCTGAAAGAGGCAATACCTCTTCTTGGGCAGCTAGACTGATTAAATGGTAAAGTACAGATAAAATACTTGTGCAAACTGATCTGGATTCCTGTCAATGAACAGCTCTTCATTTCTTTTCCAATGAGCGGCCACGTCAGAAAGTACCTTCAATACTTTCCAGTGTAAGGGAAGCAATGTACAAGGAATTAAACTGACGCTATCTTCAACTCTAGTGAGAGTGAGGAGAGAAGTTTCGAACAAAACCCCTCCAACATTGACTTTGATACGTTCGCCATAGGGTCGCCACTTGTTAGAAAACTCGCCTGTTGACTAGAATATAGTGACAATAAAGTATACAATATCGGAATATGATAATAGTTCCCAAATAAGAATGGAGGGAAATCATATCATCGGTAGATGTATAGCCATGGTGTGCAGAATTGGAAAGGTAATAACTACACACCAGTGGCGTACCCAGGATTTCGGCTCGGGGGGGGCGCGACAAAAAATTTTTTCTTAAGAAGGTGCGTGGCGTTAGCCACGCACTCCGAAAAAATTTTTGGGATGCTTCTCAAAATTTTTCCGGGTCCCCGACCCCTAAAATCTGGAAAAAGGGGGCGTGGCGTCAGCCACGCCCCCGAAAAAAATTTTTTTATAAGGCTAAAATGAATTTTTAAAAAATTTTAAAAATTATTTTAATTATTTACAAGTAAAAACAAGTCACTTGCACATTTTTATAACCCATGTAAGTAACCTTCAAAAATTTCGCGACCCGTTCTCGGGGGGGGGGGGGGCGCGCGCCCCCCCCCCCGAGCCAGTGCTACACACTTTGATTGTTTTTTGACAAGACAAGAAACGAGGTTACCATATCAAATGCGACAGCCGACTAGCAGCGAAACTGGAAGATTAAACTTTTGTCGATATTTAAAAAGACTTTTTTCAAAACTTAAAAAAATCTGGATTAGCTTTGTGGGAAAAAGTTCGGCCATGCCCCATTTTCCTGAAAGTTCCGACCTGCATGTAATCGGCAACTGAACATTCCAAAAACCTTTTGGGAGTGCTAGCGCCCCTTCGTTCGAGAAATTGACGCCATCGGTTTTTTCTTTGAAGATTCCATCATTATATCTGTTTGACACTCCCTTTCGAAAGGCGCTTTCCTCTTGACTTGAGACGAAGCACAATTTGTAGGCTTTGAGGTTGCGTCTGAGAAAAATTGGTTTTGTGTGGTTGCGGGCTTTAAGAAAAATGTACATTTGCGAATTTCATGCAGATTTGATCCCATGTAAATAAACCCTAAGGGTACTAGGGTCTTTCTACATGGCTTGTGACTAACGCAATCGCTTCGACTTTTCGCAATTCTGCATAACTGAATTATCGTTCAGTTTCGGTAGTTTGGATATATGATTACCTATAAGATTGTGGAAGTAGACGAGTTCTTCTCAAAAAAAGAAATTACCCTCACAACTAACTAGCACAAACCTGCAGCTTGGCTGAGCAGATGTCGACAAGACCGGGTAAATTGTAGAACTGAATTTGGGAATGATATTCATATTCTTTAGAATCGTGGGTCTGCAAACTATCTCAGCCTCTCTTTCAAGGCATTTCAGAGAGTTGTCGTCCTCAGGGAGAACGACATATCCCCCATCTCTTAGGTAATTGAGTACCTTAATGAGTGATTTAGACGTACTAAATACTGAGGAAGACAAAAATGCGCATAACCTTGCCGAAATATGTGGGATCTCTGTCAATGAAGATTTCCCTTCCTTGCCAACGCTCGGCAACCAATGCAGAGAGCATCTTCAAAAAATCGCGTTGTTTAGACTAATTCAGGAAAATATGCAAAATAGAAATAAAGTATCAATCTTACACTATTATCGAATTTTGTTAGAGTGGAAAATGAAGATTCGAATATAGCTCCCCCAACATTGATCTTCACGTGCTTTCCGCAAAGTTTTTCGGTCTGAAAGATCCGACTTCACCAACAGAAAAGCACTTACCCATAGCTGTGGTTAGATGGACGCACAAGATCGAAATGATATTGCATTCCCCAATGCTGACGAAATTCAACTCACCATTGCTTTAACAAGGCACACCTCTGCCTACTGGTGCATGCGGACAGCGCTGTCCAAAACGAGGGCAGTTTTGGTCCTCCCGTTACGAAATCTTCCATCGCGCTAGGACCATGTCTCCTCTCGCATTGCACCAGGGAAATAAAGAAATCCTTGTGTCTACGCAAAAAGATCATGATGCTGAATGAGGTGTCTATAAAGGTTTGGCTTATATTAGTAGCGATTTGCAGCGAACAGTGAGTGTCCTTCAACAACCCAGCTTAGGATTCTTCCAATAGACATAATGGTATGTATGCGATCATTTCATAGGATGACCAACATTTAGGTAAGCTTTCGATGGTTGATAAAGCAGAGTAGACTAGATAGTAGGTATCAGTAGACTAACTGTTAGTTTTTCTCAACTTTTCTAAATTTTCTTCTGAATAGGGTCAAGCGTGTGATGCGAGTGTCGCAATGGGGGGGGGGGGGAGGGTTGTAAGGGATCGTTCAGACCGCGCACAAAGGCGGACGAAGGCGCACGAAGGCGCACAAAGGCGCACAAAGGCCCCACATGTTTGTCTTCATCATCGATCGAATTGGAAAACAAGCCTTCGTGCGCCTTCGTTCGCCTTTGTGCGGCTTCGTCCGCCTTCGTCCGCCTTTGTGCGCCTTCGTGCGCCTTCGTGCGCCTTCGCCCGCCTTTGTGCGCGGTCTGAACGATCCCTGAACGATCCCTAAAGGGGGGCACTATTGTGGAGGGAGGAAGTCGTAAGAAGGGGAAGTTTGGATAAAACACCTTGAGTTTTGAAGAGAATCGAATAGCATGTGATTGTCACATGATATCTTACATATACATAAAGCTGAATGTCTGTTTGTATGTCTGTGTCTATGTCTGTCTGTCTGTTTGTCTGTACGTCTGTACGTATGTATGTTCCGAATAGAAAATTCCATTTCTGAACCGATCCGGACCAAACTTGGCACACATACATATAGGGCCCCGGCGGGTGTCTAGGCCACTTTTCGTCATCGATCGATATCGATTTTTTTGCAGAATTCATCAGGGCTGAGAGTTGGCGCAGGGGGGTAAGCGAGCATGCTGATTACGAATACGATATTAGTTTTCAAAATCGTCCATCACTTTTATCGATTTTATCGATTTTTTTTGCAAAGTTCAAACGGGACTGGGAGTTGGCACATTGGGGTAACTGAGCATGCTGATTACGAATACAGTATTAGTTTTTGGATTCATCCATTACTTTTATCGATTTTATCGATTTTTTGCAAAGTTTAACCTAGAGGGCTGGGAGTTGGCACAGGGGGTAGGTGAGCATGCTGAGAAAACGGGGATAGGGAATTTGCATGGAGAAGTGGCAGAGGGAAGGATTCTGCAAGGATAAGGATGGAACCTTTATCATAGTTTTCACTGAACCGGGCGGAGCCGGGTATGCCAGCTAGTGTACAGTAAATTCATGGTAAGCTGCATATCAATGTATAAAATGAAGACTGCTGGCCTTAAGTACCACTAGAAACTTGAAACCACCCCCCCCCCCTCCCCCCCCCCCAGGCATGTATGTGCGATAAACATGTTCAATGTACCGATTGGTTCAGAAGTCCTGCCTCCGAAGTCTCCTGTGGCCGTATTCATCAACGAACCCCGAGGGTTAAACTAACCCTGGAGGGTTAATTTAACCCTAGAAAGCGTTTAACCCGTATTCATGAAACACGGGGTAGGCTTAACCCTGAGGGTTAAATCTAACCTTGAGGGTTAATTTTACCCCGAAAGCGACTAACCCGTATTCATCAACGAATCGTGAGGGTTAAACTAACCCTGGAGGGTTAAACTTACGTGATTCATCAGGGTTAATTTAACCCTAGCTCAGAGCAAGGTTAACTCTACCCTAACAATACAAACATTTACTCGCATTTAATAGTCTTATGGAAAACGATTAACGAGTGTTGTAGTATTTAGTGTTAGTTGTTGTTCTAGTATTTAGTTTCGATTTCGTTTTATGTTCAAATTCAAGTATCGTCGATTCGTTGACCGTACAGACTGCTCAACGCTGCGGACCACGCGCGGCGCGGTTAAAATGTTGCGTGAGCACGATTTTAGGCGAATTTGTATTGGAGCAAGCGTTTTACCTCGCGGCGCGTGCTCCGCGGTTATGTCCAGTCCCTACAGTCAACGAATCGACGACATATTAAACACTGACTTTGCGAGAAAAAGAATTCTAGCTTTGGTGACAAATGAATGCAACGAGGAAAAATGGTTGCGCATTCTACTCTAACAAGTGCCAAAACAGATAAATCCCTTTATGATAACGCGCATTGACCCTTAAAAGAGTAGCACATTCTCGGTATAAAACGAACTGCGCAAAAGTAGAACTTACACGGCACAATTGCACACATGAAAATAAACTCACGCTGTAAGATTGGAAGCTGCACAAATATGCTAGAGATGTATTATAAAAACTAGTGTTAGAAGCTTATTTGTTGATTATACTACTATAAAGTGAGAGTAGAAGTATAAAGTGAATTTAGCAGGTACATAGGCATTCTGTGATGTGAGTTTGCACAGCGCACGCGTAATTGACGCCTTAACCCTCCAGTGTTAGTTTAACCCTCAGGGTTCGGAATACGGCCACAGGTTCGTTGATCGATACGGGTGGATTGCGTTGCGTGGTGAACCCTACCCTATGTTTGATGAATACGGCCAATGAACCCTGAGGGTTAAACTTACCCCCAGGGTTAGTTTAACCCTCAGGGTTCGTTGATGAATACGGCCACTGAATTCTCACACACTCGACAAAAGTGCATATCTTTCCACAATGACCATCAATATATTGTACAGGCGATTCATAGCACGCAAAGACTGCGGGCGTATCGGCGTCTCTCTGATCTAGCGCTCTTTCGTTTCTCTTAGCATCTGCCGTCTCTCCCACACAAACTATCTTCCATACACAAACTATCTTGGTGGGATGCAACGGCGCCCAGCCTCTGCGTGTCTTGATGGATGAGGAAAGAACTCCGCCAGTTTGAAACAGCCTTCGCTGGCAACTGGTTCTTTTAGTATGTTGCATGTCGTTGCAGGGCCAGTAGTTCGCGGAGGCGGTTCAAACTGGCGGAATTCATTCCTCTACCCCTCTTATTTCTCTCCAACACTTTTTGAACTGTTCAATCAAAGTGATTTCCCATGGAAAATCGATAGAACACGCATCAGTTCTGCTTGTACTGCTCCTCACGTATGCAGTAGATAAGTGGCATTTTTTTGCCCAATGTTATGGCCAAGCATATGAAAGGGCTTATCATTTGGCCCCCATTGCATTAATTTAGGCTAAATAGTAGTAAGAAAGTGACAATTGTGGGGGAAAGGTTCCACTGCTGAAGAGTAACTGTGGATGAGTTACCGCTTCGATTATGGCGTAGTTCCTAGAGAGATAACTGTTGCACTTATCATCCTTAAAGGCACCGTCCACCCAAAAATTCGATTTCGAGTTTTTGTTCTATTCCGTACTTCTTGAGCACGCTGAATCTGAATCCAGGCATAAAATCGAAAGAAACCTCCAAAATTCTGAGTTTTGCACGTTATCAGAATTCGTCGTAAACTTCGCCTGGCAGCCGGCAGGGTAGAGACGCAGAGGAGCGCTGCGTCCTTCTTTAGCGCACTCGTGTATTTGTTTCTGTTTTTTCGTTTCCGTTCTATTTTTTGTTCCGTACTGCTTATTTTGTGATATTCCATCATAATACGTGTTTGTAAGCGTTGTTGTTGCGTTGTTTGTTTGTACGCTAATTTTTGCCTACAAGATGTCAGTGAGCGCGCCCTGCATATAGTGTGTTTAACCGAGCGGTGATTGCTGACTCTTGCTGTCTACTTCGAGCTTTCTCTGAAGGGGGCGGAACGAACGTCACGCCCACTCCAAAAGGGGAGGAGCCAACGTGGCGAACGTCACCTGAAGCGATTTCCGAAGCAATTTTCTCGCTTCGGAAGCAACTTTAGGCAGCGCGAGTTGGGCAATCATACAGTCGGGGGCCCCGCAGCTGCTAGGTATCATAATCTCGACAACCCCAATTTGGGTGGACGGTGCCTTTAAGCGAAATCCTCTTCAAAGGCAGTGTCCGGGCAAAAACTCGATTTCAGAAAATCCACTTACCGGGAGTTATCCGCAACGCTGAATCCGAAAATCCACATTAGAAGGCGCGAAAAGGGCGAGAACGTACGTTTTCCAAAGCCGCACAATTTGGAATTCGACGGTCCCCGCCAAGGCAGAGACGCAGAGTCCCTGCGGGACCGTACAATTTTGACTATGGCGGCATGCGTCTCTGCCGCATAGCAGGAAATCGAACAGCTCGGAGGACCCCGCCCCAAGGCGTAAGTTTCCCAACTTTACGGTCGTTTTTCATGCTTTAGGTCAAGCGTTAAGGCCTTGCACATGAGCGATTTTGTGTCTGAGGAGGGCCAATTTCGCACGGCACTGAGGTCTCAAAACCCCCAACTTCTCCGCTCGACTTAAAGGCAGTGTCCGGGCAAAAACTCGATTTTGAGATTTTGTGCTCACCCGGGCCTATTCGCTATGCTGAATCCGAAAATCCACATTGGAGAGCGCGAAAACGACGAAAAAGGGCTCTAATACTGGAGGGAAATCGGCAAGTGGGCGGGGTCTTCCCCACGGTGAATTCACGCTCCCAGCTTCGGGTACGATCTTTTGATTCCGGTTTCAAGTCATTCGTTTGCACTTGATCGGTAGTGATGTCAGGGCGGCTAACGGATTCGAGAAAATTGCTCTGGAAGCTGGAAGCGTGAGTTCACCGTGGGGAAGACCCCGCCCACTTGCTGATTTCCCTCCAGTGTTAGAGCCCTTTTTCGTCGTTTTCACGCTCTCCAATGTGGATTTTCGGATTCAGCATAGCGAATAGGCCCGGGTAAGCACAAAATCTCAAAATCGAGTTTTTGCCCGGACACTGCCTTTAAAGCAAGAAAAACGACCGGAAAGTGGGGAAATTTACGCCTTGGGGTCTTCTACCTGTTTGAGTTTTTGCTATGCGGCAGAGTACGCATGCCGGCACAGTCAAAATTGTGGGGTCCCGCAGAGACTCTGCGTCTCTGCCTTGGCGGAGACCGTCGAATTTGAATTCGTGCGTCTTTGGAAAACAAATGTTCTCGTCGTTTTCGCGCCTTCTTTAATATGGAGTTTCGGGTTTACCGATGCGGTTAACTCCCGGTAAGTGGCTTTTCTAGAAATCGAGTCGGACCACTTTCGGAGAAGATTTTACGCTTGGTGACCACCACTCCCGCTCCGAACTTCAGTCATCGTTCAGGTAGGAGGTCTACTTTAACATCGCCACAAAAACGCGGCACCCATCTTTTTGCCGGGACGCCGCCTTCAATAGAACTGACTTTGCAAAATCGCCAGGTATAAATTGTTGGACAGTTGCACCAACTTAGTTCGAGTTTGCCGAAAGCTACAAAATTTTAATGTTTCATGAAAAGATCGAAATGAGATGAAAGTTCATTGTTTGTTTGTTTGTTGTTTGTGAAGGACATCAAATACATGTAGAAATGCCATAGCAGTTATGGCCAAAAAGTCATAATAGTTAGAGTCTCGGATTTGCCAGTCGCAGTGCTGACTTTGGTAAATGTGTGTCCCACTGATTGTCCCATTTCACGCAACAACATGTGTTGAAAACGAGCTGAAATAAATATTTGAGCTGGAAAAGTTTTTAGGTTGGCCAAGAGCATGACGGTTGACCTTCGTTACTTTCCCTTTCATGAATGGCATATGATGCTTCAATGGTATCCAATTCTCATAATTAATCGCTGCTCCGTCTTCCATTTCTCGTTCCTGTATTGCTCCCACACATCGCTCAACTTCATTTCCACAACCAAAGCATTCAAGCCATTTAGTTGTCTCTCGATATCCGGCATACCTTAGTGTGGAAATCGTAGCTTATGTCTAACCTGTTGGAATTCTACAGGGCTCCTAAACTGCAGAGTCGTTTGCACCAGCGGTTGCGCGACCGCGTCGCGCCCGGACATCAATGGCGCCGCCTCGATCGATGGCGCCGGCGCCGGCAAAATGCCCGGGCGCGACGCGGTTGCGCGACCGCTGGTGCAAACGACTCTGCAATTTAGGAGCCCTGTACCTTACAAAGGATTGCCAGTATGATTCTACAGCATTCTCCTTCCACTGCACTCTGTCGCCAACCCGGAAAACTTCGGGTAAGCACATCTTGGCAAGGCCAGGCAAATTATAAAACTAAAAAAGATCGAGTAGTCGTTGCGGGTAAAGTCTCATTCAAGGATAAGAAATCGTTTCCACTCTTTTACACCCCTTCCCTTTCCAAGCTTGCATGTGAAAATTTTTGACTTCTATTCTATCCAGCATTGGCGTACCCAGGATTTCCGTTCAGGGTTAGGGGAAACGACAAATTTTTTCTCGGATGGAGGCGCATGGGTAGCCATGCAGTCTGAAAAATGGTATGCTTCCCAAAACTTTCGCAAAACGCCCGGAAAAATTTTCATGGAGCTTTGTCGAGTTTTTGAAAATTACAAAGTTGTCTTACTTATCGTTCAATCGCTTTCACTAGAGTGGGCGGACCACTGCAGACATGACATGACATGTAATCGGTCGATAAGCCTCCATCCTAAAGCATTGTTTTTTGTACTCTCTCGCTTCCAAAGCCGTCGCGCGTGTACGTAGACAGTGCTCCGCCCACTCTAGCGAAAGCGAGCAAACGATATTCACAAGTACAAGCAAGTCACTTGCACATTTTTGTACTTTTGTATGATTCATCCTACAGGACAAGTGTCACGAGTACACTGCATGCAAATCTTCTTGTTTTTCGGTTGTGATAATAAGTCACTATTAGTCGTGTTCGAAAACTGTCACAACCGAAATGCAAGAAGATCGGCATGCAATGATATTGCTACAGTTGTCTTGTCGCGACCAATCGCGACGATGCAATCGCGTAAACTCTGCGCGAGGTCTAAGGCCTAAGGCATACTTCCCGCGATTCCGCGAAATTTCTAGATCCATGCGATTCGGGATTTGCAGGATGTCTACAGATTGACCATGTGCGGGTCTCAAATGCATAGGCGGGTAGATTCGTAAGCTGTAGCAAACGCAACAAGTCTGGCCTAGCAAAGTGCATTTACGACCATCTATGAAGAGTTGTTGCAGTTCCAGATCGCGCAGCGACTGGGATCGCGTGAGGTATGCTTTGAGCCTAAGGCCTTGGGCATACTTCAAGTAATTTCGATCGCAATTTTAAGTTGTAGCAAACGCAACAAGTCTGGCTTAGCAAAGTGCAGTTGAGGTATGCCTTGAGATCGCGCAGCGACTGGGATCGCGTGAGGTATGCCTTGCGCCCAAGGCCTTGGGCATACTTCAAGTGATTTCGATCGCGATCGTAAGTTGTAGCAAACGCAACAAGTCTGGCCTAGCAAAGTGCATTTACGACCATCTATGAAGAGTTGTTGCAGTTCCAGATCGCGCAGCGACTGGGATCGCGTGAGGTATGCTTTGAGCCTAAGGCCTTGGGCATACTTCAAGTAATTTCGATCGCAATTTTAAGTTGTAGCAAACGCAACAAGTCTGGCTTAGCAAAGTGCAGTTGAGGTATGCCTTGAGATCGCGCAGCGACTGGGATCGCGTGAGGTATGCCTTGCGCCCAAGGCCTTGGGCATACTTCAAGTGATTTCGATCGCGATCGTAAGTTGTAGCAAACGCAACAAGTCTGGCCTAGCAAAGTGCAGTTGAAGTATGACTTGAGATCGCGCAGCGACTGGGATCGCGTGAGGTATGCCTTGAGCCTAAGGCCTTGGGCATACTTCAAGTGATTTCGATCGCGACGCGATCTGGCAGAGCCTAAGGCCTTGGGCATACTTCAAGTGATTTCGATCGCGACGCGATCTGGCAATCTGCCAAATGTCTTAAATTGCAGTTTTTGCGGATTTCAAACTCGCGGTTTATATGATTTCGCAGATTGGCAAAATGCCCTATCTTCTGTGCATTCATAATGAGCTTATAATGAATTGTAAACAATTGGAGCATTGCCATATCGCGGCGTGACTGAAACCGCGTGAGTTATGCCGGAGGCTTAAGAGAGAAACCGGGAGCGTTGGACGCGCGGGATAAATCGCGCCTTGCGCGCCACTTTGAGGGCAAATTTTTCGGCGTTGAAGGGCCCGAATCGAGTGGGACTTGAGGCGGTCGCCTGTCCAGGGGGTCCCTTAAAAATATATGAAGACCCACACTATCCCAATGAGACACTGCCTTTAGACTTTTATGTTCTGGATTTCTCATTACCTCAGCTTCCCTTCGAAGACTTTCACGAGCGTCTTCATCTATAGGAGGAGAAAAATTGTCTCCATCACGAAGGTAATTCAAAACCTGAAGCTGGCAAATTCAAATCTTTTGGGGTTAGTGACATGCGTACTTTTGCAAAATGCGTCGGATCTCTGTCAACAAACAACTCTTCTTGCATCCGCCATCGATTAGCAACCATAGCAGACAGGACCTTTGAAAATTGTCTTACAAGAATACCAAAATTCCAGTTTTTAAAACACCTACAGTGTCATTCATCCTAGTAAGAGTGGATAACGACGTCTCAAAGATGACTCCTCCAACGTTGATCTTCACTCTCTCGCCATAGGTTAATTGTTCTCCGTCTTCGCTCTATTAATGGCACTCTTGATCAGATAAAAATACTTGAATTCAAAATGTTGGCTGTGTTCTGCTTGTTATGAGTCCACAGTTGACTACAAGTGGGTAACCTAGACCAACCATCTTCCACCAACGTACTTACAGCAACACTAAATGAAAAATGAGACTAGTCTTTGCAAAGACCGCAGCGATTACCTTCTTGGAGACGGAAATTATCTAGCATCTATCAATCACTTAGGAGTGATGCATGGTGACCAGGGCCTGGCACCAGCTGGCACGCTGGATATCGTTTTTGGAGCAAAAAGCAAAGGGGGTTTCGTTTTTGTGGGCGAAGATATACGCAAAATTGGCGACTGCGACCTTTTTTTTCGACGATTCGTTTTTGGGGGGTTTTTTAGGATTTTAGAGGGGATATCGTTGAGGATCAAAGGGGACTTCGTAAAAATTCCCAAAAGTCAAGGGGGACTTCGTTTTGAAAATTTCCTGGTGCCAGCTCGTGCCGAGCCCTGATGGTGACACTCAGATAATCGCCGGGGGCAGGCGGTCCGCAAACTCAAACTTTTCTGCAAGCGGTCAACAGAACTTTGGGGCGTGGCCAAACCTTCAGCTGGCGGCACTTCCTTTACGGTCGCATATTCTGCCAGCGGGCAGCAATACAGTATTTTCTGCAAGCGCTCAGCAAATAATTTTTTCAGCGAGCGCTGGCCAAACTTTCAGCAAGCGCTCGGACTCTTTTTAAGCAGTGGCTCAGATAACCGCCGGGGGCAGGCGGCCATGCGAATTTTGAGCAAGCGCGCACCGGAAAAATAGTTCGTTGATTTTTTGCGGCCCGCTTGCAGAAATTTGGAAGAAAGTTGGCGAAATCAAAGACGAATGCTTGAAGAACAATCGCGGTTTCTTTATGGATTAGCTGCGGCGCAGTGGCCGCATTCTCGCGGACTTTCCGCGAAAATATGCAAAAATTTCGAGGGCCGCACGGTACTTTGTGGAGGACCGCGCAACCCCCAGGTACTTTCCGCTGAGAGAAAGTACCTCAAACTTGAGTAATTAAACCAACGGTGACACCTCTGCCACACAGAGTCTTACCTGCGCTCGACGTACGCCCGAAAATGCCTTGAAAGAGTCCGAGCGCTTGCTGAAAGTTTGGCCAGCGCTCGCTGAAAGAAATTATTTGCCGAGCGCTTGCAAAAAATGCTGTATTGCTGCCCTCTGGCAGAATATGCGACCGTAAAGGAAGTGCCGCCCGCTGAAGGTTTGGCCACGCCCCAAAATTCTGCTGACCGCCTGCAGAAAAGCGCGAGTTTGCGGACCGCCTGCCCCCGGCGATTATCTGAGGGCATACACCGAGCCCAGGTAAGGTTCTGTGTGGCAGAGGTGTCACCGTTGGTTTAATTACTCAAGTTTGAGGTACTTCCTCTCAGCGGAAAGTACCTGAGGGGTGCACGGTCCTCCACAAAGGACCGCACGGCTCTCAATAATTTTGTATATTCCACTGCGCCGCAGCTAATCTGTAAGGAAACCGCGGTCGGTCTTCAAGCATTCGTCTAAAATTTCGCTAAAATTCTTCCATATATCTGCAAGCGGACCGCAAGAAATCAGCGAACTATTTTTCCGGTGTGTCCGCCCGCCCATAAATCGCATGGCCGCCTGCCCCCGGCGATTATCTGAGCAAGTACTTTTCTTTTTTTCTGACTAGAGAAGTGCCCAAAATCATCCACTTTGCAATCCAGATAGCGTTATAACGAAAATCTCAAATTCCTCCGCGAGTCTCGAAGCAAATCCATCATTGTGAGCCGTCTGAATTACACGAATTTCAAATTGCGCATCCCTTATAAGGGTTGAAGAGTTCTAGGCTCATTATTACTTATTTTCCAACCCTTTCAAAGATGTGAGCAATTTGTGAAAGTTACGCCCCCTCTTGGTGAATGAATGCGGTAAGTCCAGAAATATTTTTGCTTACCACATAATATTCAGTATCCCAATATTTGCATTTCTAAAGAGCAAAAAGTGAACCTTCAACATGTCATTTTTTCGCGCTATAGTTTGAACTCAATTATGAACCTTCGAGGATCCAAGTTTTCAGCAGTTGCAGAGATTTCTGATGTGTTGCAAGATAAAATTTTCTGTTTACGCCCTGAAAATTTGCATATACGGGAAAATAGAAGCTGCTTCTAACATCAAAGATTTTATACGCAGATTTTTGATTTGAATAGATTACTTCGAGGTTTGTAGCGGTTACAGACTAGATTTTGGTAGAGGTACATTATACCCGAACCGTTATATACAGTGTTCCTAAACATATTTTTCCAACTTGTTCGGTACCAATTACTTCCACAGCGTGCAATTATTATAGTGATTACTTATATTCTAAGAGACCGCATAACACGCTGCTACCTTGCTTTTTCAGGCATCTACAAACTCAAAGAGTAAGGAGAGTGCTTGGGACTATCAGTGTCAAAGAAGATACACTTTTTAGTAAAAATAATTATAAGAAGCTTATTTATTTGCAGCCTTTCTCTAATCCATAAAGATTCCATATGGATTTCTAGGTTTTCATATGCTCAGATACTCGCCGGGGGCAGGCGGCCATGCGATTTATGGGCGGGCGGGCACCGGAAAAATAGTTCGCTGATTTCTTGCGGTCCGCTTGCAGATATTTGGAAGAATTTTAGCGGAATTTTAGACGAATGCTTGAAGAACGACCGCGGTTTCCTTATAGATTAGCTGCGGCGCAGTGGAATATGCAAAATTATTGAGGGCCGGGTCCTTTGTGGAGGATTGCGCAGCCCTCAGGTACTTTCCGCTGAGAGGAAGTACCTCAAACTTGAGTAATTAAACCAACGGAGACATGCCACACAGAGTCTTACCTGTGCTCGGCGTATACCCGAAACTGCTTAAAAAGAGTCCGAGCGCTTGCTGAAAGTTTGGCCAGCGCTCGCTGAAAAAATTATTTGCTGAGCGCCTGCAGAAAATACTGTATTGCTGCCCGCTGGCAGAATATGCGACCGTAAAGGAAGTGCCGCCAGCTGAACGCTTGGCCACGCCCCAAAATTCTGTTGACCGCTTGCAGAAAAGCGCGAGTTTGCGGACCGCCTGCCCTTGGCGATTATCTGGGTGGGTTCTCGACCTTATTTAACTCCCTGCAACCGTAATAGATTTTTACACCGAATGTGTTAGATAATTTACTAGAATGTTCGGACGGGTGGTAACAGAAAGAAAAATGAAGAAAGAAAGTTTACACATTGGCGAAGGAAAAGATAGCTCAATGGGTGGAAGTAGGCAGGATCGAGCCGCTACCGATCACTCTGACTGGTAACAAAATAACATCAACCCAGTTCATCCCCCATATGTAAATCTGCCAGAAATTCTGCTCTCGCGACCGCCTCGGTAGAGATACATTACTGTATCATTTGCTGAAAACAGCAGTTATCGTCTGGGCGCACACATCCGCTCAAAACACCCTACATATACCACCGATTCTGACGATTTTAGGGTAAGTTTGAAAGGGCTTTTTGACCCCTTTAGGGTTAATTGTGTTTAGGTAACTGAGCAGGTCAGCCGTAGCATCACGGGAAACATGAAAAGAGTCTCGGTCGATCTTCGCCTGGTCTCTGCTTCTACGATCAGGGAGTATAAGATCATGAGAGCGATGACCGACTAGCTCACAGCTGGTCGTATACCTGTCTGTGAGGTAAGTAGTAGCATCTGTTGAAGATACTGAAAGAAAGCGAAGTGTGTTTAGCAAATCCATCAGTCCTCGTGGGAGGCAATGCCGTACCAAGAGAGTATGGAGGCCCTTACGCGCTACGGCCTGACTCTGCAGTCCACCGAAGATCGAAGCGTTGCAGTCATCTCCGCACAGTAACTTATCATAAATATCACATTCTCGTGCAATTTGCAACCTCTTATTATTAGGTAGAGCCGCTTACCTATGCAGCTCCACTCATACCGCGCCACGAAATCTACATGACTTTTGTGGACACGCTTTACCTCGGTAAGCTAATCAAAACAAAGAAGTGGCAAGTTGCTCCGCAGCCTTACCCCCCCCCCTCCCCCTCCCCCAAGTCCACTCGAAAAATGGGTTGGATCCTTTTGATGGTTAGCGTGGTTTATGCAAGTATTAAGCATAAAAAATCAACCATTATATTTGAAAGTCAACTAAAATCAAATTATGTTGAGTAAAAAACCCAATTCAATTTTGGATTTTTGTAGTTCAAATAGTTTGGTATCTAAAAAGATTGCGGCATGGAAAAGCGCGGCCAACGCCGACTACAGTTAGATTTTTGACTTGAACTTGCAAAAAATCTAGGAAGCTTCCCAAATAGCTTTTCGGGGAGCACGGACAGTGCCACTTTTGCCACTTTCCTCCATCTAAAAAATATGTTACCCCCTTTTCCAAGAAAGTTAATCTACTGCTATAGAGTAGTATCTTTAAAATTAGGTGGAGCATCTATCCTCAGTTCAGCGCGCCACCGAGGACAAAGTTGATGTCCGCTCACGAACAGGACTCGAGCGTGCCTGGATGCTATGAGCAAAGATATATAATCCATGAAGGGCGCAGCTGTGGTACTAATGTTGCTACGAACTTGACATTATACACAAAAACTAATTTTAGACTGGATGCTGGAGGCGGACCGAAGACTGAAGCTATGGAGAAGACTGCCGCTTGAACACCATCCTTTGCTGAAGCAGTTTTCACACATATAGGAACGAGAGTAGTGAGTTAAACATGAACCAAGCCGATTTTTAACTTCACCGTAGTGATTTTAGCTACTGCCTGATTTCGGGTCTGGAAAAGGAGAAATTGTAGTAATGAAAGGACAAACCCACTACAAATCCAATATTAGCAAATTCATGATTGTTGTTATGAGGGCTTGGCAGAGGTCAGTGAGCATACGAAAACTTCACACAGATACAGAGATGCCCACATGTACAAATATCGTCCACTTCCATTCAGTACGCGCTACCTTCCTCTTCGCTAGCCAGAGACTGCTACTATTTCCCTACTCCAAAGAGATCAGAAAGTCAACCTTGCCACAAAGCACGAATGTGGGAGTGAACGACACATGGTCATGCGCACGAGCATCGCTGCTACCCAGCCAATGCGACGCACAAACCGTTAAAAACCTGACCTCGACAAGCCGC